AAAAAAAGGGCATACCTCTACGGCGCCGTGCAGCGCGGATGAACCGATCGGCCGAGGTCCCATCGCTAGCAAAGCGGTCAAATGGCGTCGCGCCCGCGCTTCTGAGAAAAGATGCCCACTGGCGCGCATACCGCGCGGCGCCGGAAGACTTCCCGCTCCAAACCGATAAACAGCGCTTGCCACCTGGATGCATACCAACACCAGCAGCACCCAACTCAACATCTGCGGGATTGGCGGCAGAGTCACCACCCCACGTGACATCACCGCTGCCACTCGTTTCTTAGCTGCGGCCACGTCATACGGGTCACCGCCGCCGATCGGCATTTTCGAGGATTCCGACGTTGGGCGGCGGGACGCCTGCGCCGCTGCCTGCGCAGATGGCCGCAGTCCCGCTGACCCTGCCGCCGCCGCCGCCGCGGCCGCGGCCGCCGATGCCCTCTTCTTTACGTTGCTCCAAGCGACTGTTCCGTGGCTCATCCCGAGCTTCTTGAGCACCCCAACTTTCTCGGTAACCTCGTCGAAGATTCTCTGAAGTTTCACCGCCATTGCATTTTCTTCCCCACTCTGAGATCTCGATCCCTTCTGCTGCAGATTCTGCGCGGATGGAGCAGCTGCCACTTGACAATGTCCTGATTGCGGAACACGAGTCGGTTCCGACGATAGCGATGGAGGTAGGGGTTCATAAGGGGACGGTACTGAGTCTCGAGGTAGGCTGTCGGGCAACAATCCGCGAGAAGAGGAGGACGAGGGCGCGGAGGAAGAGGGAGAGAAGGAAACCGGGACACCATAGGGGGAGAGAGATGAGGAGGAGGATCCAACACCTCCACTGCTCTTCCTCCAGTTTGCCGCAGCGACGGGGGTTCGAGTCCCATATGGGTCGTCAGCGTCACAGTTGTTTTGCACGCCATCTGTCGTTCCGTTAGAGTAGTCTACGGGTCCCATAGAAGATGAAGCACCAAGAAACAAGGCAGAATCGCCATAATACGTCCTCTCGCCCGGCTTTAACGTCCTCCTCATCGCTTTCACGCTGCACTTTGCAAACTTGCCGTCTCTCTTCTCAATTCTAATCTATCTAATCTTATCTAACTTTTTTCTCTATCTAATCTATCGAACTTTTTTCTCTATCTAATCTTATCTAACTTCTCTCTTTCTAATCTTATCTAACTTTCTTCTCTATCTAATCTTATCTAACTTTTTTCTCTATCTAATCTTATCTAACTTTTTTCTCTATCTAATCTTATCTAACTTTTTTCTCTATCTAATCTTAATCTATCTATCTAACTTTCTTTATGTAATCTAACTTTTTCTCTATCTAATCTACCTTCGTAAATCGGTAATTAACCAACTAACGGAATGATGAATGGCTAGTCGGCAACTAACAGAACGTTGCAATCCAAACGGGGAAAAGTAAATAAATCGCGACTAACGGAATGGCGAGTCGCAACTAACGGAATTATGGTGAGCCGTAACTAATGGAATCGTGATTCGAAACTAACGGAAATCATTTAATGCTGAATGGTAAGTCGTTCCACTAACGGAAATGCTGAATGGTAAGTCGTTCCACTAACGGAATGCTGAATGGTGAGTCGTTCGACTACACGAAATGAAAATGAATGGTGAGTCGCAACTAACGGAACGGTGAATCTAACTTAGTTGTTGCGCACCATACATAGTCTTTCTAACGGAACGGATTCCTTGCTTCCTCTGATTGACCCTGAGTCAGTGAGTCTGACTCTGTTTTGACTAATGATGACAAATCGAATCCGCTAATTACCGAAGTGCCGGTGAACTGACCACACTAGTTAACGGAATAGCTAACGGATTTCTTGCTTCCTTCGATTAATCAAGAGTGTGACTATGTTTAGACTACTGATAGCCAAATCCGCAAGCTAACGAAGTGCCCGGAAAGCTTAACACACTAGCTAACGGAATAACACACTAGCTAACGGACTGGCTAAGTAAAGAAATGCAACGCTAGGAGCGTTGAGGGACCTCATGGAGGACCAATAGTCTTCTGAATCTAACTGTGTGTTCTTGTCCTGATGGCAATCCGCTAACTAACCAACGAGGTAATGCAAGAATTGGAATGCTTGCAAGTACACATACATGTATAATAGGTATCTATACATATACACATATGTGTGGGTATATATGTATAGATAGATAGATAGATAGATAGATAGATAGATAGATAGATGGATCTGGATATTGTCGAGACGGGCGGATTAAGGGGAAGGCAGACGAGAGTAATGATTGAGGGTTTGCAGAGACAGGGAGGGACAGAGACACCAAACGAAGACTCTGAGACGAATGCCTGACACGAGCGCGTGAGAAGGCTGGATAAACGATTCACAGCTGCATTGCTTTGTGCTCCACAGCGCGCCCCAGAATCACTTCGTCTTCTATGTGTGTGTGGTTTTTTTTTTTTTTTTTCCCCTTAGTTGCGATCGGATTTGCACTCTGGACGTGTTTTTTTTGGGGGGTAATGTGAACGAAATGGCACAAAAATTCCAACCACCCCAGCGCTTGTGTTTCCCGAGCTTCCCGCTCGTCGCCTTCTTTTCCGCTGCCTCCTACTCACTCCCAAGCGCCTTGCAATGCCTTTCTCCCCCCTTCCACCTCTCTCTCTCTCTCTCTCTCTCTCTCTCTCTCTCACACACACACACACACACACACACACACACACACACACACACACACANTCTCTCTCTCTCTCTCTCTCTCTCTCTCTCACACACACACACACACACACACACACACACACACACACACACACACACACACACACACGCACGTGGACGTGCAACTCGTGTACGCGCGAGCTTTCCAGCTCTAAGTATGTACTGCTGCTGATTCTGTCTTCTCTCTCTCTCTCTCTCTCTCTCTCTCTCTCTCTCTCTCTCTCTCTCTCTCTCTCCCACCCACTTCACCGCCGCTGTCTAGTTCGTCCTCTCTCCCGCTCTACCGTAGGATTCCCTCTTCTCCTCGCTCTGCCTCCCTGTCGTGGCTGCACATGTTCACCTTCTGAAGCAGCCCCTAGTCACTCTTCTAGGGCGCGCTTTTCCTGCTCCCTGTATCCCTGTGTGCCACTTTCACCCTCTCTTTGCGGCGCCTATTCCTCCCCCCCACCCCTCACACACCCCGCCCTTCGTCCATCCCCCAATAATACGTCGTGGTAATGCAGCTTGCTCTGTTCTGTCTGTTTTCTGTTCCAGATGCATCGTACTACCAGGCACAGGCATTCCTTCGCGCCCAAACTCCGAACTCGCTGTTACGGAGCACAGCGCAGCTGCATTCTCCCCCGCCCTGCTCGGCATACGAACCGGGACGCCTCAAATTTTCATACCCGAGCGCAATCCCGCGCACGCGTGCACAAATACATTCGCGCGCGCGCGCGCGCGCGCGCGCGCAAGCATATTCTCAGCATACACACCCACGCTCGCAAAAGTAGTTGTGACGTGTGCGATGATAGATAGCTTGGTTGGAGAAAGATGAGCGCTTTGTCACTGTGCGCTTTCTCAGACTTTTTCTTGTTTTTTTTTCAGCTCTCCATTCTTTTGTTTTCATTTTATTTCTCTTTCTGTGTTGCATGTCATCCTTTTCAGATATCATCATGCAACTGACCAGTCCTCTGCACTGTGGGTATTCAGACTCCTCGTATTTTTAACTATTTTACTCATCTCTTTCCACTGGAGCTCGAACTCAGGTCTACCAACTGAGCTGGGACAGTTGCTCATGTCATCCTTTTGGAGGGACCCTGCGGAAGGATCATTGAAAAACAACAACGAAAAAAAAAAAAAAAAAAAATATGTTCGGGAGGTTCTCTCTTCATTCATGTCCCTGGGGCCAAGTCCCACTAGCAGCGTTGAGATACCTCAACGCCTGAATCTGGACGTGTTTGTGGAGACGTGCAGTTCAGGAAACTCAACACCATTTCTGCACATCTCCGCAAAAGCGTCCAGATTCAGGCGTTGAGGTAGCTCAACGCTGCTAGTGGGACTTGGCCCCTGGCTTTGTTTTTTCGCTTTTCTTCACTTTTTTTCATTTGTTTTCACTTTCCTTTTTTTTTTCTGTTTTTGGGGGGGAATTTTTGTTGTTTTTTCCCCTTCTCTGCTCTCTTTTTTTGTATTTTCTGTGTCTTTCCTCTGCTATTTTCTTAATGGATAGCATTCCAACGCACGATTTTTCTTTTTTTTTCATTTTTGGCCCGAATGCACTCGGAATGTTTGATCAGTCCGAATGAAGCCGGTCCATAAAGCAGTTCAGTTATGTGTCGGAAGTCGAGTACTGGAGCGAGACCCCTTTCTCTGTATATATATCGTCACAAATAGAACTGCCCGGTAAACCGTAGGCAGAGAGAGAGAAGAGGACAACAAACGAGGGGCTGTGACAAACTGTTTCGTCGGAGTGGACTCTCTGTATATTTCTGAAGGACGTACTGCTTCAGGGCCTCGCGACACCACTCTGGAAATGTGAAAAAAAAAACAAAATTGAGGCGGGTGCATCTGGCCATGTTGTAGCAGGAAGTTCATTCTCATTTTCCACATTTCGAGAGTTGTCTGGCGATTCTCGTCTCGGAAAAAAAAGAAAAAAGAAAAAAAGAGTTGTGTGGCGATGCCCTCAATCTGCAAAAAATGTTGAGGATTTTTTTTTTTCCTTTTTTTTTTTTTGGTTCGAAATCTGCAAAAAACGAGAATGAATCTTACCACTCACGAAATCTGCAAAAAATGAGAATGAATCTTACGCTAACACACGGGAAGATGCACCGCCATAACTTCTGTCTTTTGTGCAATTTGGTGACTGGTGCGGCGAGGCCCTTCCACCCTCACCTGTCTCTCGTTTTCCTTCGGCGCCATGCAGCTGATGATTCGCCGATGGGCAGGCGGAAAATAGAATTCGACCAGGCAGGACATCCGTAGAACATTCGAAATCGGGCTGATAATCGCCGAGTGGTCCCACCTGCACAGACTGTCCGTAGATATAACAGAGATCGATGGCCAGCATCTCATGCCCTTGGATGCGAGTAGGGGGACACCTGCTGTCCCACCAAACTCCACTTGTGGTGAGCTCCACGGTCGCTCCACCGCGCCTCACCGTGGCCGCCCTGTCAGACAGGCTCTTGGGAAGTGGGACTGCGGGGCTCTTTCCACAACTAAGGGCGTACTCACACTAGAAGTATCTCAAACGTATCTGACCGCATTCACGGCCATACCTTGACGTATCTGGCTGCAATTCCGTCCAAAAAAATGCGTAGAAAAGTCCTAGTTTGAGTCTGCCCTATAAAGCTCGCCAAAAGTAGAGTTGTGGTGAGTTCTATGAGCCTCGCCACATCACTCTACGAACGGAAAAGTTACGAGTGCATCTGTCTCAGAAGGTGGCAAGATGCATACGGAACTATTCGTAGTACCTGTTTTCGGCTTCGTGGGCGGTCTGGCGAGGCAGAATGGTTGCTCCACTACCTCGCCATGGCTCCCATGTCAGACAGCAGGTTCTTTCTTTTTTTTTTTTTTTTTGGAAGTTCACTTATTTCATTTCAAAACAAGGACGAACCGAGAGGCTGGTTCGCTTAGTTAAGTAAACTCGAGAGGTGATGGAGAGTTGTTAAGTTGTTCGCTCGCGGTTCAGGCGGGGCGTAAGCTAAGCTGACTGATGCTGTCAGATACAACCGGGTTGAATTGTGAGGTCCCCGGCCTCTATGATTTTTTTTATTTTTTTTAAATTTTTTTTATTTTTTTGGCCTCTATGATTTCGAAATTGAATTGCCGAAAAAGAAACTTTGGAAACCGAAGTGGAGGGGGGGCACAGTGACGGGCGCTCGGTAGCGCTCCGCAGTGCGCTGTCGACGGAGGGACCGTCGGCGCTTTCTCGTCATTTCCCTGCAATCGTTGTGGGGAAATGATTCAACCACCACCTCGCGTCTGCCTATTGACACCAACCATAGCCAAGTGCGTGGGAGGTATAGGAGTCAGTGGAGAGTCCCTAGATTCATTATAACACTATGTGAACAAAGCGAATTGACGAGCGCTCTGGCACCCGCCCGGGAGATAACAGTTGAAGCGGAAGGGTGCATACCCGAAGTAGGGTTGGTGAGACTGTAACTGGAGATGGTGGAAACTGGCAACGATGTACCAAGCCTCAAGAGAGACAGGAGGCGGGCCTGTAGTGGAACACACAGAACACCTCGTCACTCGACATGAGGCATGGACACAAGAGAGGCGGGCAGTTTTGTAAGTAAGGCAACTGCCTATCGGCCAACTCGGTTGAGGGATGGATCCTTCGGCGATCTGGGGGGCCAAGCCAAGTACCTCCTGAAGGAAGACGATATTAATCTTCGAGAGATTTGGATGCGGATCCACAGCGAAATAGGCGCCAACATCAAGGAAGGATAACAGGTGTGGGAGAACCACCCAAGGCAACAGCAATTACAGGCTCTATGCCCCAAT